GAATTAATTCACATGATAACTTATTCAGACTAGAAGTGACAATCTCTTCTGCATCCTGGACACTGTGGCATACAATATAGACACATTGTTCAGGACTGGGACAGCACATTTGCTCAGAATATTGACTGCTGTGGATACAAAGCTCCTGCCCTCCCTGGGAATTGTAATCAAAGGCAATTGTAATCAAAGGCAAACACTTACCCTAGGTTATGGCCTTTCCTGTGGGGTAGCTGTACCCAGTAACTGGCTAATGCTGAGATACAAATACTAAATACTTTGGCTTCGATTTAGCAACAGTGAGTATAAAACCAAATTGGAATCCAGATGCAATGTGAGTCTTCAGACATTAGGCAGAGGTCAAAGAGGAGATGATGCTAAGCAAGTCAAGAGAACAATACAGCAGGAGTAGCAGCAACTCCAAAGGACTATCCCAGCTCCAGGCTCCCAGAGGCTTAGCTGAAGCATCAGTCACAGTTAGATGATAGCTTTAGCTTTCTTTTTCCAAACCTGTTTTCCTTATAGATATGAGTCCTGATTATTCCCCATTAAACCTTTTGGACAGTCTGTTTTCAGGAATTCAGTTGAAGATACTTTCCGACCACACTTCATCCTTCAAGAGGGAAAATACTTCCCCTTCTGGCTTTTCCAACATTCCTTATTCACCACACACACATACACACACACACACACACACACACACACAGCAAGTCCTCTCTTTTCCTCAGCACAGTCTCTAGTCTGTATGACTATTTACAATTAAGTTTCTCTCTACTTTGCAGCCCGCAATTCTACTGAGAAGAACCAGTTAAATGCTTTTACTTTTTAGTTACCCTAAATATTATTAAATGACTAAAGTTTGTAGAAATGAGAAATTGAACTGGGGAAATGATTGATAACTTACAGTTGTGAGGAATTTCAGTGACTGAAAGTAGATGTAGACTTCTGAAAAACATTTGTTTTTCACTAAGGAAGATGATTGTTCCTAACATTTCTAGGTGTTAGCAAACATAGCAGCTCTATATTTTTACAAATTAAAAAGAATGGTATGTCCAAACTAAACCATGTTTATGTAAATGCTATATCCTTACCTATTGTTCTTTTGTGGGAATGCATAAAAGTTTGTAAAGATTCTTATTCTGTTTTTCTTATACTCACTGAGCTTTTCAGGTGAAGAGGCTAAATAGTATCTGTTCTAATCATTCAAGTTAGAAAGAGAATATTACAAAACATGAATACTTCTTTTAAAGGTCTTTTTCAATGTGCAGATCCATAATAAACATGCACTTGTGTATATTTTACATTTCAGGCCTGAAAGTGCTAGCATTGAGCAAATTTCTCAATGTGCTTTCTTTCCAGATGAGCTACATTTAGACAACTAAATCTATAATGCAATATAACATGGTCATATTAGCCTAGTGATGCAGAAAAGACCATCTGTATCACCTTGAATATGACTAAACTATAGGAGCAAACTAAATGCCTTGTGTGGTCATTAGTTTAAGAAAGCCAGTGAACCGTTTTTTAAAGGAGAAGGGTAATGTAATTGATGAAGAATGAATAAAAGCAAGCATTGACCTTCAATGCTTTGTAATAGGCTTGCAAAATTGATTTGTAAACTACTTTAAAACCCAATTTCATGTGCATTAAAAACTAATCAAATGACTTGGATGCAGTTCACCGGTTTTTAACTTGGCAATTTACATGAGCATGTAAAAGTTGTTAATAGAGATATATAAGAATTCTCACAAAACAATTATCATCATGCAGTGATATTTAGTCTTGTCTGAACAGATTTCTTACTCTCACCTTGTTTATCAATCCAAAGTTGAATGGTGAATTTAGCTAGTATTTATCCTTGTATTGAGTCGTGTGTTATTAGAGAGATCAACTCTATTTCAGTTCTATTTAACACTGCTGACTACTGGACTACAAATTGAAATTTCACAATAATAAATTAGCTTATTTAGTTCTAAAATGTTCCATAACAGGTATTTTACATAAACTTTATGAAGTGATGAGGAGCTTGAAGAGACTTCTGGGTATTCAGTAAAATGAAATTAATCACATCTCTAAAAAGATAATTTGAGTAATGAGAGCTGTATGAGGTATATAGGGCATGATACAAGGTTCTCCATTTCCATTATGATTGGGTTTTTATCAATCACTTTTAGTAAATATGAGTATATACAGTTCTAGGAGTTAAAATTATTTAATTATGCAAAGCAATTAAATATACAATTTTATTCACAGTCAAAATGAGCGTATCAGCAGTTCAGCTTAGAACTTGTCTGTAGAAAATCATTTATCATGCTCAGGCATTCTGCCAGGGCCATGGGTTAATGGTGAATGAAACAGACAGGGCCCTTTGCATATGCGGCCTGCACTCCTGTTGTGGAGGGAAGTGCTAACCAGAAAATGAATACGTGTGTACTTACTAACAGTGGCGAAAATTATGAAAGGGTACTAACCTGGTTCAGAAGAAAGAAAAATCTCTAGGAAATAATGTTGAGACTACAGCCTAAAGGATGAGCTTAGGAGGGAGAAAGAAAAGATCAAACACAAAGAAGCCCTGAATCTGGAAGAAGCACAGGCTTGCAGAGGAATTAAGAATCTTGTCCCTGGATTAGAAAGAGCAAGCAGCACAGCTGAAGGTGTACAAAGCTGACAGTTTTCTCTTCAGTCCCAAAGGAGGAAGGGGAGCGGTAATTAAACATGATGAGCTGTGATTTTTTTAAATTAAAAATTATTTTTGAAAGATGGAAAACAATGATGTTAATATAAAACATTATTAGCATCTTATTGCAAAAAAAAAACAGTTAAATCATTACAGTAGCTTAGATGGGGAAGAACAGTGGAAATGAAAACAGTTAAAACATTAGAAAGACATTCAGGAAGTAAAGTGAACACAATTAGGGGACAAGCATCATTTGGATACAGAGATTGGTAAAAGACACAACAGTACCTAGAATGACCCGCAATTCTCAAATTTATCTGACAGGGTCGATGTTACAATGTCATTCACAATAAGGGAAGGCTGAGTTTAGAGGGATAGGACATGAGGTTGGCATTTACTATAAATTTTAAGGTGTCTTTAATATTTCTAAGTGAACATATTAATGTCATTAGATATGCACATTTGGAACTCAGCTATGTAATGACCTGAAGATACAAATTTACAAATCATTGGATTAAGGACAGAACAAAAACTCTACATGTAGGCTGGAGCACTGACTGAAGGAATGAATTCAAAATAGAGAAAGTTCATGGATTTTTAGAATATTTTTCCAAGTTTTACAACCGTCTTTAATTCATAAAAAAAACAGTTCATAACAAGTACATTTTGAAATATATTCTTGGAGATCACAATATCTAGACATCTAAAAATGTAAGAAGGTAGAAAATATTGTAACTCAAAGACACAAACTGACTTACAAAGAAGTAACATGCAATTATAAAGCCAGAGATGATATGGACCTAGTCTAATACACTAGCAGTATGAATAACAAATTCAATTTTCTTGTAAATAATACTTGGAAAATGTTGGATTACAGATATCATTTGGACACTTTCTCTTATCTTTTCATATTTTTCAGTGGTAGAAATTGTACATGTTTTAGTAGTATTTTTAAATGTATAAAAGAATTTGTACTTGATGTAGTAAACAGTAGAAACTTATAAGAAATATGCAGTACATTATAACACTCTACTTCCAAACCACCCCACTGAGCTAATCAGTATTAAAGTTTGCTGTGTATTCTTCCACATATTTTTCTGCTACTTTAAAACTTGTATGAAAAGTATACTTTTTTGCTTTTAGTAAAAATAATTTTAAAACACATGGATTCAAAACTTTTTTCACTTAACACTATTCTAAAAACCTTTTAATCAAAGCATGTATGAATTTTAGTTTTAAGACTACTATATCATACAATTCTACAATATAAAGATGCCTTGACTTGTTCACCCATTCTTCTACGAATGGATATTCAGTTTCTTTCCAGTTTTTAAGTCTTTGCAGTACCCTTTATGTCAGTTGCTGAGCCACATGAAAAGCATGAAGGCTTTATTAAAGAGATATTTGGAGATGTATTTCAATCCCACCAGCAAAGTGTCAGTACAGTTACCTGTGTTCTTTGTCAAAAGCATTAAATGTTACGAGCTTTTCCCCTTTTTGTGTTTTACAGATAAACTTAAGGGTATAAAAATAATATCCTCTTGGTTTAATTAGTAATTTTTATTACCAACGTGTTTATTTAGATATTTTATTGTTATGAATGCCCTAAGTTCTATATATCTATTAACTAACATTTAAATTTCTAACTCCACCTTCTAATGTTTATATTTAGTTGCCTTTCTATGCATCATCCACTTTGAGATATGAACAGCCTTTCATGCTAAACTAAGATTTTGGAATGGCACCAGCAATAACAAAAAGCAAGAAAAAGAAATTCTTAAGTTTAAAATACACCTCTGTGGAACCAAAAACCTTTCAAGAATTCCAGATTGAATAAGAAGCCTCTGACTCACAGTTGACCCTAATTTTCCTACCCAAATTCAACTCACCATATTATCAGTACAAACCTTTACCAGATGTGAGCGCCACTTCACCATACCTTACTTCTTTCTCTCTCACTCCCACTACCCTAACCCCTACTGCACACGCATACAGCATACTCATTCTCCCTCTGTTCCTCCACTTACGATGTGTGATTTCTTCTTTTCCTATCTAACCAGTGGATGTATAGTGAATAAAATTATTTTTAGTTTCTTGTCCTCTAATCTGAATAATGAGATATTATCTAATCATCAGATAATGCATAATTTACTATTTTCTTTCTATATTCATATTGGTCCAACTCATATGCCTCATTCCAACTATAACTAAGCATCAATTAATACTTCTTTTTCATGGTATTTAAATAGTAGTCAACAATGTTTGTTCTGTTTAAAGGATATACCCACTGTCTTGTAATATTGTTCTTTCCTATCTCCATTTGTAGGGAAACTTTTTGGGTTCAAGTTCCCTGGTCTGAGAGTTCTCTCTTACAGAAAGCAGTCCTTACCACAAGAAGACCCTGATGTTGTCGTAATTGATTCATCTAAACACAGTGATGATTCGGTGGCCATGAAACATTTTAAGTCTCCTACGAAAGAAAGCTGCAGTCCTTCTGAAGCAGATGATACAAAAGCCTTGATACAACCCAGCAAGTGTTCTCCCCTGGTGAACATATCTGGACCTCTAGACCATTCCTCTCCTAAAAGGCAATGGGACCGACTTTATCCTGACATGCTGCAATCAAGTTCCCAGCTGACCCATTCCAGATCCAGGGAAAGCCTCTGTAGCATCCGGAGGGCATCTTCAGTCCACGACATAGAGGGATTCAGTGTCCACCCCAAGAACATATTTAGAGACCGACATGCCAGTGAAGGTACATTCTTCTTTCTTTTCTTTAGCATAGAAATGTATGCTAATGAGTTGTGAAAGATTATTTCCATATTGATTTTAATACCAACATTAACCTTTGTGCCTTGGAAGAAAACTTGTGATTAAATCTACTAAAATGTAGGTCTTATATTCAGAGTGGTTTCTCATTTTCTCTTTGCGCCCAAGTGAGTAATTTGGATACTTCTGGCTTCTTTATCTGTTTCTGAAATAGTGTGATAACCATGTATCTGCCCACTACATGGGGTGTTAATTAATTAGTGCTTAATATAAGATGGGTATAGGTGGCGAACACTCTCATCTCAAGCATAGTTCATTTTGCTATGTTTAGCAAGTGATCACATCTAGAGAAGATAAAGAGGTGTGCCATAATCACAGGACTGTTTTCAACCAACTCCCTCTAAATGGAGGGATAGAAAATGTGACATCCTGACAGAAGTGGTGGATAGGAAGAAGGAGAGGCAAGATCGGTGGGGGAAACCCCACAAAGCAACTTGAAAGACAAAGTGAGAATTTATGTATTTCTCTCTGTGTTTACATTCTTCTGTTAGCTAGTGGTGAAAGTCGGGGAACTTTAACAACATCCACAGGAACAATCCATCATTAACATGATAATGGATACCACTGGTCAAATGTTCCTTATGCTTGAGACAGTGCAAATGATTAACATGCTTTAACTCTCTTATTTTTCCTAGAAACTCTATAAATTAGGAACCAGTTTAAGCCCCATTTTATAGCTGAGAAACTGAGGCTTAGGCATATTAAATAAATAACAGATCCCAGGTTACAGAACTAGTTAGTCGGTGTCAGAGTCTGGATTCAAACCCAGGCCTGCTTGTCTACTAGAGTCCACAGTCAAATCCATTTTTTCCTCCTTCCCTGCTGTTTCCGGGAACCTCACTGTAAAAAGGATCTGTGAGCCACGGAACTCCAGCAAGTCTGAGAACCAGAGTCCTCTGTTGGAATACATCAGGCCACTTCTCCAATTCCTACAGATATAGGTTCTTACGAGGCCTGCTGTCCTTTTATAACAATCTCATCATGTGCACTTGTCACCCACTGAGTTGGCAGCTACCTTTTTAGAACAGAACTCTTACTTTAAGGGTCCTAAGGAAGGGAGTACTATGGACTTTACAAAGTGGCCAGGTGCTTTTCAAGCTTCAGAGTTTACCCCTACAACTCTGCCTCCTGGAATATATAGTCTGTTCTAAGCCTTACCAAGATCATATGCAGGTGACCAAAAACTTCCCATGACTTTTTCTCCTGACTACATTGTTCTGGCTAAAATGCTCTTCCCACTTTGTTCCTTTTCACACTGCAACTCAGCTGCAGGCACCCATTTCTCCCTTCCTAACCCACAAGAATCAAATATTTTACACTTGAGTGTTCAAAGTTTATTATATTGTATAAGTGTGGTAGATATTACGTTGTATATGTATTATATAATATATATGTAAATATAAATGTATCACTGTTATTAGATATACTGATAAACAGCTATGTTGTTGTGAGCTGCCATAGCAGGCAACTCGGCAGAGGTACTTCTGCAGTACATACTACTGTATGAAAAATATTAGTCTATTTTATGGCAGATATTCAATAAATGTCAATTTGACACCGAGCTGACTGTGCTCACAATTAGTTCCAAAATCACATACATCGAGAGATGAATTATCTGTTTCATGGTACTCTGAACTTAACCAAAGTCTTAGGTTTGAATTTTTAGATGAAGACCACAGTGAAGTAAAAGAGGCAGAAAAGTTGAAAGAAAATTAGTTGGCAAGAAAATAATTCATCAAGAGAACCCCAAATCTCAAAACAGAAATTACACTTTGCTATAAGACAGGTTTGAGAGACTATACCAAAAATATTAGCACACATTTTAATCTGTAGTCAAAAGAAGGTCAAAGGAAAACTAAAATCAAAGACAAATCCCAAACTGGGTAATTATCTAAAGAGTTATACCTTCCAGTAATGGTGGACTGAGTATTCCCTGCCACAATGAAACCTATGTAATTTATCCCTTAACTGATGAATCCTATGGCTGAAAAACAACCATAAATTCAATAAGGCAATTCAAATGAGCAATGTATCTTTTGGTTAGCCTAGCTAATATAATCATCTTTAGGAAGCATACTGACTCTTCAAAGAGTGTCCTTTTAGAGATTTCCCCCATTGCGGTGGACCCAAGGCTCAGCTGGTCAGAGTACTTGTTTAGTAAACAGAGATTTCCCCTGTGACAGCTTGAGTAACTAGAAAAGAACATTAAGCAATATCAAATTTGAAAATCAAGCTGATACATAATCAGTACATCCTACAGATTTCATTCTTGTTTTAATAGTGGTTTTCTGTAGTTTACACCAGGTTTCAAAACTTTATTACTTTCAATCTATATCATCTCCATTTAGCACACAGTTACTGAAACAGTTACACAAAAGGATGATTTAATATTTATTTTTCAGTAGAGGTGTAGGATGTGGACACTTGGTGTTACAAACATCCTCAGCTTTCTTCCCTGACCCAAACTAGGTTATTTTCAGAAAATGTATCACTTCCTAGAGATGCAGCATTCATCATGTGACTACTGATTAATAAATTCAGAAGGCATTTGTACTTTAGCTTTAGGGCAATTTTAGTTACAAAATTGCTGACAGACATAGAAGAAACTATTTTCTAAGGTAACACAATTTTATATATTTTTAAAACTGAGCTGTTGATGAAAGTGGATGGAAGACCACATAATTCATTTCAATTTTATGAATCCATGAAACTGAGCTGACATTTAACTGAGTTAAATCCTACATGCACCAATTTTGCATTCAGATTGTTGTTTCACTACCTATACAGGCTGTCTTTGCAGAACTTTAAATATTTTGCAAATATATTATTAGTATATAACAGTTTACAAAACCCTCTCATTTATGCAAGTACCTTAGGACTGTACTTCTCAAACCATCTTGGTGAAGGACCAGAATTTTTTCTAGTTTGCCATATTTCTATACATTTGTAAATTCAGTAAAAATGCATCACTAGGAAAACAAAATTAACAATAGACATACAAAATATAAATTTCAGTTGTTTTATCATTAGATTTAATAAACATGAAATTAGTCTATCAAATTGGTACAAAAGATTCTACCTATTCTAGCATCTGCACTTACATTACCATGCAGGAACAGTAAGATCATGGTACTGTGAACGGACTTCTCACTATGTCTTGAAACATCAAACCTGCCTCAAGATAATGTAACCTGTTAACTTGTCGAGAATTTGTAAATTTTTATTTACAACTTCTAAATTTGTAGAATATATTTATAATTTTTAACTGCTTGCAAAAAGTTGTGATTTTATTAGAGAAATTGTTTCTGTGTAATCAGAATCTCTTCCATCCCAATTCACTTTTTGATTCCCTCAAAGAGGAAAGAAGGGGGCTGGGGATTTAGCTCAGCGGCACAACGCTTGCCTGGTAAGCACGAGGTCATGAGTTTCATTCTCAGTACAGGAAAAAAAAAAAAAAAAAAAAAAAGAGGAAAGAAAGTTCTTACCAAAGGCAGCATGTTATTTGTGTATCTCTATCTATGTCAATGCTATTCTAGTAATTCAACATGTCACACTATTGAAATTACTGTAAATGTAAACTTTGAAATAATTATGATGGTTTTAGGACTTTCAATGTATATGGTGATAATACATTTGCTCACGAAATGTTAAACAGATATTTCAAATCTTGGATATATTGGAGGAGTTTGATGTGACAATTTATTTTGTGCTTATGTATTTCAAAGCTAGTAATACATATTTTGATAGCAACATGTATTCAAAATTTAGATTTCCCAACTCAAAATAAGTCTAAGAACACTCCATTCTAAGATTTAAAAACAACCCATTTTAATACAAAAAATCCTAGATATTCCAGGGATCGTGCTGCCTTGTCACATAAATAAAAGACATACACATTTTCTTCATATAGTCAAATTTACTGAGTTTTTGCCATTACTATTATTACCTAATAATGACTCTTTTAGTTATAGTTATTATTTTTTGATAATGTTGGCTATGTTTTTAAAGTATACATTGAGGAACGTTTGGCACTAGGGGGCAATTAATAAAATTATGAATAATGCAATTTGGTTTATTAAACTGTTATCTTAGTAACACTTTTCCTCATTAAGTAGGTTGCAATACACAAAAAATACTTAACATGCCAAATGTGCCATCTTCCTTTGAATAGATGTAAGTGATACTTCGGGGGAAACCAAAATTGTCATCTGACAAGGTTGAAGTTTATCACAACTGCAGGCTCTGTGGATATCTTTCTCCAAACTCTCACAATTACAAAATATGTGCCTTAAATCCGCTTAAATTAAATAAATCATTATTTCCCATACTTCATCAAGAATGTTTATTATGGCAGATATCTCTAGTACATGAATTTTGTTGGCTGAATAGTACACAGTGTTCATTTTAATCAAAGATACATTTTCAGTCATCACATCCTATTTTATGATTGTTTTTACAAAATTCAGTGTATATAAGATGATTTTAGTCTTTTTTATGTTTCTCTCTTTTTCATCCTAATATGCTCAAAACAGATAATGGTCGCAATGTCAAAGGTAATGTACAAACTCAAATTTCACATTGACGCTTACAGTGCCCCTTTACTCGGCATGCTAACTTGCCTGCTGTATGCCCTGTTCAGTGCCACATCCCCGTGCTGCCCGTAGCTAGTCCAGGTGCCTGGTGGAGACATCATGGCTTGATTTTGCTGGAGACGTTGTTAACTGGCTGAGCTGTGTCATGAAAACAATGATGAACACCTTTTTCCTACAGAAGTGTAACCATAGGTTGACAATGAACACTTCATGAACATTTAAATCATCTGGAAAGAAACAAATATCAAGCTAAGTGTATTTCAGTGTAAAAGAAGCACAGAAGCCTATCTCAGGGGAAATTTTAAAAATAATGATTAAATTTAAAAATGAAAAAAAGTGCTATATGACAGCATTACTTCATTTGTTCCTCTTTTGTTTCCTTAAAACTAGTTTCACGTTCCTGGATGGCAGGGGGTATGGTTTTAAGCTTACTGTAGTAGTATACTGTACATGCATGAGCGTCATTTTATATTTTATATTATCTTTTAATCATTTTTAACTGTGTTGTATATTATCCTGAAATCAAAAGCTTGACCTACAGCTACCATAGGATAATGATTAACTGGGCAAAACTCTGCCTACATTTGGATTTGGCTAAAAAATTTGAGATTCATTTCTGTTTTCTACTATATATCACAGTAGAATATGAAAACCATATTATTCTTTTCAAATTGGAAATTCTTGATTAGGTCTTTTGACCTAGGCCGTGCATGCTGTTGTGGATGTGCAAATGGTGACAGTGACTCATTCTGTGCATGTGTGTTGCATGGGCATGTCTCCACCAGTTACCATCGTTACTTAGAATCTACCGTTCCAGCTATTTCTGTGTCATTGGTACTCTAACCACTGTGCAGTTTTATGTATTGATTTCTCCACTGCTTCCTTAAATAAGTCAAAGTTGGTGTTGACTATGAATTAATAGCACTGAAAACCAAGAATGTTTTCTAGTCAGCAGCCCAGGATAATTTTAAAGTAATGGAATTGCAGCAATTTCTCCTTACCCCTACAAACTTTATTTTGTAAGTACTTCAGTAAGGGTCTTTGCAGGTTATCGCTAATAGTGGGATAGGATTCCATTTATTGTACATAAGTATGGTGTCCTTGACCTATCCAGTGTGATTTCTAAAAGGGAACAAATTAATGTCAACTATCCCTGATGATTTTAGTTACATAATTGAGAAGGTAACCTCAAGAAACAGTATATAAACACGACCTTGCCTGTGAGACATATGACAGGCTTAGTATTTAACAATTAGCAGTAAATTAGTAGATATTAATTTCCAGTGTTTTTCTAAAATAAAGTGCATCTAATTCTTTTTTCAATAAATATAAAATTAGACTGGCTCATATTGAAGTTAGCGGTTCATCTCTCTGCCTAACTGCAGTCATTTTGTTTTTAATTTTACAGACTAATTCATTAAATCAACTCTTCAGCTTCCCTTCCCTTCTACTAACTTGAGGCAGCAATAATCTGAATAAAATCTAGGTTTCAATTCAGTAACAATTGGACTGTGTACCAGAATTCGGTATTAATGTTTTCTAAACCATTTTAGAAAGTTTTGACGTATTAATAATTATGAATTTAAATGCCTAAATTGGAGGAAATATTTGCAAACTTAATAAAACTTTAATGTAAATATGCACTCCCAAGTTTTCATTATTTCTTCATGTTCTAGTTTTGAGAACTATTAAACAATATTGAAGTGCCTTCCTCTTTAAGATTTTCACAGGAAAATTAATATATTAATTAGATGAGGAATAATGCATTAAGTGAGATTTTAAATTTTTTGGCTTTATATCTAAGACAAATTCAAACTTTAAAAATTAGAAAATAAAAAACATTTCTAAACAGCATTATATATAAAATGCATAATTACAATCAATTATTTCAATAATTAATTCAACCAAAAATCTTTTTATTACAAGACAAAAGTGATTTAGGAATATATTTGGAAGGTCTTCAACATCCTCTGATTTTTTCCTTTAGGTGAGATGTTGGCTGATTCCTTTGCACAAGTGGTACCAGCATCTTTGTCTCCAGAAGAGGCCATTCTTTAACTGTCTTGGGAAGTCTGTTTTAGTTCCTATCGCACAAACCGCCAGCCTAAATCGCTCTTACTGAAAAGTACTCTTCTCTCATCGACCTAAATTAGACAGAAATACTGATGCAGTATCTCTGGCTATACTAATTTTAACATAATGTTACAATATCAACACAGTAAATTGGTACCTTTCTGCCAAATTAATTTCCACTTCACCTTCGTGGATTCTATTTTGTTTCATTTAGTAAATTTCCTTAATTTTCCTTTAATAAATTCCCTTTTTTTAGAAAATATAACCTATTTTCAAGGAGTAAAAAAGCTACTTCAAACAAACTCTGTATTCAAATTTGTAGATGTATGTATTATAATTTTTAATAATTTCTTTAGCATGTGAGAGGGGTATCTAACCCTACCTCTCTCGTTCATAAGCTCATTTTAACCTCAATCTTAGTGGCTTCTCTATCTGTTCTTCCTTTCAAACTATTCAATACAAAATTTACTCGGTATATTCTGATAAACATTATTGATGAATGTGATAAAATGTTAGTCCTCCATTATTTTGTTTTCCTCATTTTCTCGAGGAGACCTGCATTTTTCTAACATTGGTGTGTTTAGTTTCCAACTGTCTATGAATCTGTCATGTGAGTCAGAAACAAAACTGCTGTGAGGATTTTTATAGCTTTTATCTGCATACTAGTCAGGAAACCTATCGGACTCATAAAGGAGATAAATTAATTTGATACAACTTGTTTCACATAAGTTACATTGGCCATTACCCAGAATTTAGTGATCTTATAGGGATTTGCAAATTTATTTTTCAGTGATGACAGTTTCTTTTGCAAATCACATGTCATTTTGTGGAAGAGATACTGTGGATTCTGAATAGTAATCTCATGGTTACTTTTAATACATGCCTCTGCAGGTTAAACTTACTGCCTTATGTTTACTGGCAGAGTTCTTCTACAAGGCTTAATCAATAATGCTTTCTCCATTGTTAAGCCACTTCAGTAATTTAAGTTCTACTAGACTTTAACCAAGTAAGCTCAATGCCCTAAGAAATGTTACACATAGACATGGTGCTTCAAAAAAAAACTTAATCCTTTTGATTTCTCTCTTTTCTGCTTCATTTTGCCCTCAAGAATAAATGTTAAAATATTTTTATATATGTATGTATTTCAGATGTATTTAGTTATACTTCTGTCTAAAAGTGAATATATTTTTTAATATTTCATAACAATATATTTAAACATCATAATCATATCAATTTTAAGTTTTTGACCTAAAATTTTTCCCAGTTTTTGCTTTACGCTGTTGTCTGAGCTCTAAATGTGGAATAATTCTTGCAGCTATAAATTGTCCTACTTTACACTTAGTCAGACACTTGCAACATATTAAAACTTTACCCAAATGTTGATTTAGTTTACTTGGTCATCTGTTTTCCGCTTCTTTTAATATACTGAATACTTTAATCTGGTCATCTATTTTGGAAGTATTACTTTGCAGAATGTCTAATCCTACTGCACACTTTAGAGTTTTACATTTCTGTCAGTTGAATCTATTATTTCTCTTACTTCTATCCATTCATTTTCGTTAAATTCATTTACTTTGTTTTTCAGGGTATGCTCCTTTCTGTCCTTAGAATCCAAATTCCTTCTGTTCATGATTTCTCTCAGTGAGGCTGCTTTTCACCTTTATATCCTCTGCAAAGGCCTCTCTGAATATAGACGTAGGAGGTAGGAAAGCCCATATTCTGATTTATAGTCCTTGTTTCTTAGGTCTCTTTGGCCTCATATTCTGTCAATTTCAATTTAGAATTGTTGAAATAAAGATATTATTAATTCCTACCATAAAGCATTAGATATTTTTATTAGAATATAGATATGATTTTGGAGAACCTAAGCCAACATAGATCATCCTGAAGATTCTGGGAGACTTTTACATATAAAATCTGTTTTAAAATCAATAGAGAGAAGCATAATGATCTTTATTTCACAGGATGCAATAAGATTCAGTTCCTGCTCTAAGTAGCATGCATTAGTTATTTTTAAGTAATATATTAAATTATACTGCATTTATTAAAGCAATCAATTTAAAAATATCTAGATTAACTCTCTCAGACTAAAAGCTTAAAATAAAATAGACTGGAGAAAACATTTTGAAGATTTTTCCAACAGTGAATATAAAAACATAAAATAGTGATTGAATGAAATTTCAAGCTCTGAAAACAAATGTATGATATTTCTGAAATTTCTCATTTTTATCAGACATGATCTTTCCTTGTTTCAACAAAAAATTTATTATACTTACTCCATTAATATGTAATGGAATTCAGAGATAATTTAACCTATATATAAGAGGTCAACACGATTTCCTAAAGGTAATATAGAGGAGTCATGCAAAGGAAAATAGTTTATAATCAAATGATAGTTCTTTCAAAATGCTAGTGTTCAGCTATAAGTACACTAGAAGACATATGCGATCATCATCTATATAAAAATATTGGCTTTAAAACCATGAAAAACAGGAGGAAACCTTCCATATATGAACTGATAAAGTGATAGAGCAGGCATATGGGTGCATAGCAAAATAAAAACTGGTATTTGGAATGAATAATAATGGATTGGACTCATATGAATGTTAAAAGTGAAAAGAATCAAAACAATAATATACCAAAAAACTAGGAAGAAATTAGAAAGTATGAGATTCTCACATGTGAGAATTTTAAATTCATGGGTCTTAATTTTAAACACCCTGTCAAAGTATTTTTGTGTGATAAAATATGGTCACAATAATTGCACAGAAGAAAAAAATCACTAGAAGTTGGAGTACGTATTTATCTGTATATTTTAAAAAATATATTCCAAACCTATGCTTTCTTAAATAATAAAAAATGAAAGATGAATTGAAGAAATAAATGAGCATGAAAACATGACAGAAAAGTGTTGGTGAATCTCCAAAGAGTTGTCAGAATGGGACTGAACAACAACAGGGGATCCTAAGACAAATAAAGAATTTTAAATGTTTACTTATTTAGTACACAGATTTTCATTTCACATATCATTCATTCCACATGCATAGAATTATAAAGCAAAATATTTTTAAAGAATTATTATTTATGATTTTAACATGATTCTTATAATTATCTGTAAATTTAACAATGTTTAATCCCCAAACTGGAAAAATGGCCCAAATCTCAAAATGAGAGAATGTTATCTGGAATATGTTATAATAATAATCCATAAATGTGAGAGGTTAAAATTTCTGTGAGGACCTGGAGGGCAGACTTTCAGTCAGAGACCTATCTGAAGACAAGCATGTCTAACCTGATTTTATTTTTTACTCTGACCTCTGTATACAAATGAGCACACCTGGGCAATAAATACTCAGAGAGCTCAATGACATTTTCACCTAGATGGACTTGTTATCATAATGGGAGTGAAGAGAAATGCAATTAAAGAGGTATAATATCTGTTAAACACATAGAAGTTTGCTTAAAATAAATTTAAAGTTTTATAATAAATGAGCATATACATTTATATGGAAAATAGTGTAATTTTCCCCCACAGTAACTATGAATAAAATGATGAGTATACTGTCATGTTCTTAGCACTATGTTTGACCTGAGTTGATTGATCATTGGAATCCAAAATATGCAACCTATAAGTCTAACTTTGAAGTATTTATGTTTTGCCTAATGCTTAAAGTACCTTTATATCCCTGAAAAGTGTTTATTTCAGTCTGAATGGGAACAAAATATGCTCTGTAGTATTTCATTCATGAATCTGTATGTTTTAACCACTCTGAGGCAGAAAGATACTGTATAACACAATTAGACCAAGGATTTGCATAAAATTCTTCCTGATAATTATATAAGTAATATACCCATTGCACAAGAAACTCTGTCTCTCTATGTAACAGATAAGATTCAGATATTGATGGTCAGTCTACTCACTCACAAAGGAAACAAGGCTTCTAGCACCTTCCAAATGATTTCTGTGGGAATGGAATGTAAGATCATGATGGGAAATTGCCAACCCCAAACATGTTCTATTAATAGCTATAGTCACTCCTAATATGTTATATTTGCCAGAGTTTTTTCTTATAAGGTTTTTGCAATGTCTTTTCTTTCTCCTTGGAAACTGTTTCTCTTAAATCTAAATAAGAAAAAAAATGGAAAGAAAGATTTAAAATCCCCCACAGGATTTTGTAATTTCTAATAGAGTATACACACAGAGAGAGAGAGAGAGAGAGAGAGAGAGAGAGAGGGAGCTTCTGCCCCTCTCAGCTTCATCTGAACTTCAACTTCTAGAGACTTTGTGGGTCATTTCACACAAAGGGTGAAACAATGCAAAGACCCAGAATGCTGTTACTTCTCAGTGGCACAGGAAGGAGAATAAATCAGATTGATACCGGATAAACTTCATAAGTGCATGGCCCATTTTGGCCCATTCATAAATTTCACAGCCAGCATGATTTTAACCTTAGGCAAAATCTTCCTTGAATAATCCCCACAATATAAAACAAAATTCATGAAAAATTTTGAAGATAGATTTTGGCCAATAACAGGGAATGGAGTTTTTTCCTATAGTTTTTGTGAAAAAAGCCAACCAAAGGCTCTAGATGCCGCTTGCTGTGAGGGTGCGCACCTCGGACTAGTCTCTTCCTGACACCCGCACGACCCCCCGCGCACCTGCAGGTCACTCTAAATTTCATATGCGGGTGTCTCCTGGATATATTGAGTACGAATGCAACTGAATCAGGGCCACATTGGACATGGATCCTTTGCAGGGGACTTGGAAGCATTTCTGTTTTTAAATTTTCTTTTGATAATATTTTTACCAACATTTTTCAATTTTTTTAGGGCCTTTTAATCATATCAAATCAAGCCTCCTGGGATCCACATCGGATTCAAACCTCAACAAATACAGCACCATTAACAAGATTCCACAGCTCACTCTGAATTTTTCAGATGTCAAAACTGAAAAAAAGAGCACATCACCTCCTTCTTCAGATAAAACTATTATTGCACCCAAAGTTAAAGAGCGAACCCACAACGTGACAGAGAAAGTTACCCAGGTAAGAAATGATTTAATAATCAATTTTATTTTCTTCAGCATAAAATATGTGTGCTGTCTTGTGAATGATTATCAGCAGAGGTAAGACATTCATTTGTACTCCTATGTATCTTGGGATGTTGGGGTGACCCCTTAGAGTACAGTTACATACTGTGAATCTTATGAAAGCAAAATTGGACTAACTTGGTACTGCTCCTGATGTTGTAGAGAGGATTAACCACCTATTCATCATGTTTAAATATTTACTGTTTTTCTGTCAACCCTTCATTCTTAAAGCATTCCAAAAAATATAATGGCTCATACTTATGGAGGGTTTACATGATTAGTAGGGGCTTACTATTGAAGTTACTATTACATTTTTACACTTACTGTACTAAGTAGAGTCAGTTGACTTGGGAAAAAATCTGAGATGATAAAAAGTCAAAGTGAAACAACATACTTCACAGAAACAATATTATATTGTTTGCAAATAAATATTGCAACTTGAACTAGGTTGAAAAAGCTACTGTCTAGAAGTCCTGCCTCACAGAAGATATAAAAATAATTTGTATTTATTTTTTATATACCAACCTAAGCAATACCTCTTTTGCTTATGGTGCACTTATATTGTTAGCAATTCATGACTCTAAAATTTGTCAAGTAAACGGTTTTTATAAAATTTGCTAAGTGTGTTTGTTTAGCAAGCCTTTGCATAAAATGACAACAATATGAGGGAAAGCTTGACCTCTTTTTGAATTAATAGTGTTTTTCTGTAATTATAGTCACTGTGAACAGCACTATAGTACTGTTTGTACATTTCCTGTGCAAGCTGAAATTACAGTGAAAAAGCTATGACTCAGTTATAAATGGAGCTGAGCAATCTACATTTTTGAGATGAGAAATTATATATGCCAATCCATTTGTGAGAATATTCCTAGTACACATTTTAATATTGTGTAGTAATGAGGCACTCTAGGTCTGTCAGTCTCCTTAAATTATATAGGTATAGCAGTTTTAATTGAATAGACCACTGTTATGTGTATTTTATTGGCACAATTTTGATAGCTTTGAAGTTTACTCTCAGCTATTTGTCACTTAAAAATTATTTTATGGACAGCAAACACTATGTGGATATACAAGTATTAAGAAACTTGAAGAGATGGAGAGAGGTTTGTAAATGGTAGGGCCAGTTTTGTGCAAATGGATAAGTTGCAAAGAGTCATCCATGGTGAAGCAGAAGCAATGGGAACAGGGACCTGTGAGGTAGATGACCGCCGCTGGGCTCCAGCCACTGCACAGGAAAGGAATGTTTCACCAATGGATATTCGTAAATCTTTCAATTTATAAAAGACATAGGAAACCTAGAATTTAAGATAAACTCATTTCCAAAGTTTGGCAAGCTTTTGAACTCTTTGCAGGAAAAACAATACAACCTTCTGTCCTGTAGGCAGTGAAGTGTGATCTCAGCCAAGCTTTCATGTGTTGGTTGATCCTGGCAGCGCCCCTGTGGCAGGAGAGAGTGCTGCACCCAAAGATGAGAGGCAGGATATGCTTTGGGGGCTTTCTCATCCTAGTGTAAAAGAAGCAGATATGAAATGCATGTGAGTAAAGAATGTAGAACACAGAATAGAGAGAATGTAATTAAATCGTAAGGGGAGAATTTTCAAAGAAAACAAGATAGGCTTAGACACTTAAAATGGATCTGAAAAGTTACTTATCAAACAAGGCAGTAAGTGATTTTCAAAGTCTAAATCAGGCCAAGTGTAGTGTATGTCTGTAATTCCACTACTCTAGAGTCTGAGGAAGGAATATTGCAAGTTGGAGCCCAACCTGTACAAGTTAATGACTTAGGAGATCATATTTTAAAATAGAAAATTAAAAAGGAGCTTGGGGTGCAGTCTGGGTGTTTAGTTCAGTGCAAAAGTCTTGGATTCAATCCACTGTACTGCAAAGAAAAAAAAAAGCACAAATCAGAATCAAACAGGCTTGCATTTTAATTCTGGTGGAGTCATTTATCATGTACCATGAAGACAAGAGACATTTATTGTGTTGCACGGAGACAAGTTTAAGGACTGACAAAACTTATTTCTCAGATGTGATATAAAGTTTAGATAGAATAATATGTGGAAAATATTAATCATGGTGCTAAGTACATGTCAAGCAATATCTGCTGTTATGTATTGATGGTCTTGTGTGACTACTTGCTCTGACTGCCACCTGCAGAGTCCTTTTGTCTCTACATCCCCAGGACCTCACAGAGTACCTGGCACAGTAGAATTCTCAAACATTTGCTGAAGGAAGAGAGGAGGGAAGGAAGGGAGAGGAGAAGGAAGGAAGGGAGAGAGGAAGGAAGGAAGGAAGCTGTTATTTTACCAAGGCAAGGGGTAGAATTTGATGTAGAAAAAAAGTAGCACATAGTTATGGAGACACAAAAGTCTATCTATCTTCTTTAAACAAATAGTTTCCCAGGCCACTGATTGTCAGGGCAGGAGATTTTCCCTTCTAGATAATTCTTTACTATGTTTTCGTACCTCGCTAAAATTCTGTATCTTACATCAGAAGCTTGACTTTCCTTTAAGTTCTCATTCTTTATCTTTAACATCCCTGTGGATATATACTTAGCACTGTAATAGTAGAATATGCGTTTTAACATTTTAAAAAATGTTTTAAACTACTGTTATCAATTGAATGTTTTCCCCAAAAATTCACATGTTGAAACTTAATCATCAGTGTAATAATGTCAACAGGTGATTAGGTCTTGAGGGTGAAGCCCTCATCAGTGGGATTAGTACCTTTGTAAAGAGCTTCCTGACCTCCTTGTTTAAGACACAGTGATAATATGCCCATCTATGAACAAAATGGCAAGCATTTGTCAGGTACCATATCTTCCAGTGACTTGATCTTAGACTCCTCACTCTTCAGAACTCAGAAAAATATGCTGTGTATAAACTACCCAGGTGATGATATTTTGCATAACACCCCAAACAGACTAAGATGACTCCTTACCGTTAAATGAATCTTGGGCCGACCAAAGGGCTCCATATTTTTCCTATAATTTGAACTTCACCACATTTTGTAGCATCCTGTCACACTCGCCACAGAATCTCATTTAGAGAGGGAAAAGGCAGCCAGTGGCCTTTTATGGAGGTTGAAATATTAGAATTACATGGTGTTTTGTAAAGAATCGCATTTTTTTTTCAATATGAAAATTCAGTGAATGCAGGAGAATTCTTGTTCAAATAGGATACTTAAGTGGCTATGATACTGGCCAGGAATACTGAAAGGCTGGATGAAGCTAGACCAGGGAAAATTAGTAGGAACATTGCATCTTCTTTTTAATGTGCCTTTAGGACTTAGTAATAGAACTTTCAGTTGCCCACATGCCAAATCTAACAAGGTAAAGATGAAATGTTCAGACATTCCTCCTGCAGACATAGTCTTTAGAAATTTCAGTTAAGTATTGACAGCAGAACTGTGCTGTGACTCTCTTCCCTTTGTAGTGTTTGTGAAATTTGTTACTCATAGACACCTTCCCATTACTGACACCTGAAACTTAAGGGAGGAAAGATTTATACAGTTTCATCCCATGGTCACAAAAGTAAGGCAGAGGGGCATGATGGAGGAACAGATTCTAATCTATGGCAGTCAGAAAGCAGAGACAGAGAGAGAGAGAAGAAAGCTGAAGGGAAGATAAGAATACACACTTCCAGGTCACAGCCCTCTGTGACCGAGCTCCAATCAGGCCCTAACAGCACATTGAGCGACCCACCTCATTACTGGTGAGTGTAACACTCTCGTGACCCAGTCACTCTCTAAACATAGAAGACTTCGGGAGCCATTATAAATAGAAGCCCTAAAAGTAACTATCTTTGGAATTTCCATGTATACTACCTATCACATTATTTGCAGTCAATAAAACTACATTGGTAATAACCACAATATTTATATCCTCTTTATATTTCTTGTCTTAGGTCTAGTGAGATTCTGTGTCAGGAAATTCTCAATATATTTGCTGTCAATGAGTAATATTCCCTTATCATATGTTCTAATAGTGGCACCTCAGTTTACAAACCTACCTTGCTTTCCAAATTTAAGGAAGATGGCTATGTTGGTGTTTGCATGGGGAAGATGACCATGGTCACAGTTGTCACCTGGAATGGAGTTCGCCAATGAAAGCAAAATGTTGCCCAACACTTTTATTTACAAACCAAATTGTTTGCAAGCAGAAATGTTCATGAACCAAGGTGTTACCTTATTCATGTGATAGGTTTGTAAGGTATATTTTCTTTAAAAGAAGTCAATTTTTGGTTCATAAAGCATTCGATAATCAATTTTTAACACTCCTCAGTGTACAAACAATAGAGCTGACATTAAGAGAAAAAAAAGGATAAATGAAAAAGATAACTGCTTTCTGTTCATATTATTTTTTCACTGTTTGAGTATCATCTCTATTACACACTGAGTTAGGGCTGGCCAAGTAATTAATATTTGCCTTCCTGGCTAACATGAGTTTCTATTACTTTTTGTTGCAGAATTGATTGGTAAAGTATCCCTGGTGGCATGTGAAACTCTTGATATTCTTATGTATATCTATGAATGATCTAGTAAAACACTTGTCAAAGCTGAATATGACCACAAATGAAGCATTTAATCCTAAAGATTAGCATAACATTCAATCTAGTACCTAACTTCAGGAATAATGAAATCTAAAATAGACCATGGATAAGGACCGTGTTATTTTTTATTCATTCCTCCATTCATGCATTTGTTTATTTATTCCACAGTCATTTAATAAGAGTGATGTGTTGTGGTAGGTGCTAGGAATTCAGCTAAATGACAGTACTCTACATGGGAGAAGGAGGGAGACAGACAGGTAGATCACATAGATGTCACAATACATTGTGAAGGATTGCAGGGTAGGCGAACTCAGAGTGAGGAGGACATTGAGAAAGGAACCCTTTCCCATGTTGGGAGTTTGGGGTAATGGTTGGTAATATAAATGTTTGGGTATGTTTTAAACCT